ATCCAGACACAACACAAAAAAAAAGCGCTGTCAGTCCCCTGAATTCTTCACTTTCAATATATCCTACAAGTCATCAACAGCATTTAAATCTAACAGAGAACAACTTCTCAATCAGCTTAAGCTTCCCTTCCAGGTCTCTGAGTTTCACCCAGTAACAGTCTAATCTTAACAAGTCTTAAAACCCCCAAACTAGAAGCACTTACCTTGCATCTATGCCTGGTGCTTAGTATTTTCAATGTTTGTTGAATGGACATGAATTATTAAGAGTCTGTACCAGGGTCTGGGTCACTCTGGACTGGATATCAGTCCTGTATATTGACAAAAACTAATCAGGAAATCCTTGTTTTCAGGGGCCAATAAAATGTCCACAAGCTTCATTGTCACATGTATTCAAGTCCCTTCTTAAACCATCTACCGCCACTTTAACCCCACCCGCCCCAGAGAGAACCCTCCTACCTGTCTGTCACCTCCACATCCCACAGCTATATAATTACCTCTAACTAAGATGTAATCAGGTCTCCACCTGACCCAGCCCTGAGCATGCTCTCCTGCACCCAGTAACTCCTAGCTCCCCCACATACTATCTTGTGTGTCTTCATCTGTCCTAGACGGAGACTCCTCTGCAGGACCTCTCTGCTTCTGCATCCTCACAGTCACTGTCTGAGGTCAAGCCTTCAGTGTCTACTACCTGAACATCATGACAGCCTCCTAATAGGTCTCCACCACCTCCAGTCTCATCCATCTCCAATCCAACTTCTGCAGTGCTGCCAGAGTAATCTTTCCAAAATACAAATCTCATTGTGCTTTTTTGCAGCTTAAAATCCATCGATCCAAAAGAGAGTATACAGTCCTTAGCAACGAAAGACAAGCCTCCCTACATCTCCATCAGTGTCTCCTGTCATCCACCTGTAGCCATGTACCCCAGTGGTCCAGACACACTAACCTGACCCATGCCCACTCGTGCCTCCATGCCTTTGTCCAGGCCACTCCCTCTACCTGGTCGGCTCTGCTCATCTTTCAAGATAAGCCTTAGACAAAGTTAATTATCCCTCCTACACACGCCCATTGCACTCTGTACTGCCCCACTGTGGCACTTGCGTATTTAACTGTCATTGCTGATTATTTCTGTCTCCTCCTGTCACCTAAAATCTTCATGAGGGGAGAGATCACATCTGCTTTGCTCATCACTGTATAACCATACACAGCACGGGCTCTGGCACACAGTATGCACTCAATAAATATCTGAGTGAATGACTAAATGTTATAACAGTAATAATGACCATAAAGACAGCTAACACTTATTCAGTACTTTCTGTGTGCCAGGCACTGTTCTAAGTATTTCACATGTGTTAATTCATTTAATTCTCACAATTCTTCTTCTCCTTCTTCTTCTTATTGTTATTATTATTATCATCATTATATAAATAAAGAAATTGTGAAACAGAGATGTTAAATAACATGCATATTTATTAACAAGAGTATATGGCCATTAAGTGACAGAATCAGGATCAGAATGGGGACAGTGAATTCCACAGTGCAAGTTCTTAATGCCTCCTCCATACTACCTCTCCCTATATATGATTCATTTCTAATGTCACCTTCACTGGAAACCTTCCCTTGACATCCAATATGAGTCAGATGTTTCTTTTCTGTATCCCATGACACCCCGTATCTGCCTTCATCACAGCACTTATCACACTGCACTATATGACTTGGTGTCTGTTCTCATTATTCCATAAGCTCCTTGAGGAAAGGACTTTGACTTTGTCTTATTTTTCTTTGTACCCTCAGTGTACATGGTAAATACCCAAATAACATTTATGGATGGATGGATGGATAGATAACCTGAGCTGTAGCATAAGCTTTCATTTTCAGATAAGCCAGCAGGTGGCAGAAGAAGACAAAAGCTGAACAGAGGATGGCCTGCCTTACCTTGCACACTGGTCACTTTCTTCATGATGGCTGTCTGACCTTGGCACAGAGTCACTGTCACTGTTGCTCCGGATACTCCATAGCCCCAGATCACTGCCCCTGAAGGCTCCTTCTGCAGCACCATGTAATCATTGATGTAGGAAGCAAAGCGAAAACTACCTAAAAAATTTGGCAAACATTTAGAAGAGCATGACTGGGGAGATTCATCACTGATTGAATCTGGTTAAACAGCAAGGAACACACAGTCTTTATACAAGAGAATTTGAACATAACCAGTCCTTGTAATTTTCTAAAACGATGCTTTATTCCTCCGAATCAGGGGAGCAACACAACAAGAACAGTTGCCAGCAACATGCATCATAGTACACGACCAACAGGGAAAACTCAGATAGCCGAGGGCAACCCGTGTCCACAAGCCTCCCCCTTTCCGAGCTCTTCTCCTTCCTTTGCTCTCAGGCTTGGCCCTAACGCTTGACTTTCTGCCCCCAAATCACCAAAATGCTCTTTTTATGCACCCCACAGACGGTACGTATGAGGAAAATGAGCCACTTCCTTCCCCTGCTTTCCACGACCACTCCCACTCCTTGCAGCTGGGAGTAAAGCAGCCTGCCTCTCTCCAGCACAGCCTTCTCTGATCTCCTTTCCATCCTCCCAGTGTCAGTTTCCCTCAAATAATTCTCCTTATTGTGGTTCTTTGACAACCCACTGAAAATTCTAAATAAGCATTTATGAGTATCTGCAACAAGTCCGCTTCCTTCTAAGGTAAATTCAGATAAATTAGGATGCAAAAAATAAGGTCAGTGAGAGAGAGAAGGTCAAAATGTCTGAACAAAAGGTCTTCCGTTGCAATTTACCCATTTCACGAGCTAAATTATAAAAAAAGAGCAAGAAAAAGAGCACTTGAAACCGTGGATTCTAGACAGTTACTAACAAGACTGAGTAAGAATTCACTTTAACGAGATCATTCCTATTTTTAACATCCAGCCTATATCGAAGTATTTTATTAATATCAAGCATCTATCCAAATTACCTCAGTGAGTTCCTCATCAAAACTTAACAAGGGGAAAAAACTTACTAAGTTATATCCCAATTTGTCTGAATATAACAGATAAAACTCCCTAGAAGAAAATAATTAACAAAATTAAGATTTTTTAAAAAGGGTTTTAAACAAAAATGATAGGCAGGAAAGAGAATCAGAACTAACAAGGCTGACACTTTCCTCCCTGGAAGCTACAAACGATGACAGCCCCTTAGGCTACACACCCAACAGGGCAGCACAGCTAATGGGGTCTCCTACACAGACCTGGTGGCCTTGTCCTAAGCTTCGAATACAGCCTCGTCCTTAGACATCCTCAGCTCTCTCTTCTGAGTTTGTTCCATCCTAAAACCTACATGACAATCAAAGATCATCCAGAAGACCCACCAGGCTGGAGATGCACAGCTACCAGGAGCAAAATGCTCTAAGGAGAGACTAGGACACCTCAGAATTGCATAAGCACCTCGTTGGCAGCCTGCTGGAGGGAAGGGGAGAGGCATGTGTGTGGGAGGGCCTAGTCTCCGATAAGGGCTTCAAATGGAACAGAACCTGAAAACCAGAGGCCTCAGGGCTAAGCAGAAAGAGGACCGGAGTGAAGAAAACTGGCTGTGGCAAGCTCATGAGCGGATGCAAATGAGGGGCCCTGGATGTGCGCAGCCACTGGCTCACATGCTGGGGAACTCACTTCCCAAGTCAGTTTCCGCCAACACACAGTCACTGAACCTCTCTGTGCCTGGCTCTATTCTGAGTTAAAGAATTCAGAGGTGGAAAGGATCTTTCACACCCTGGAGTATAATCATGTTATTTACTGATCAACAGGCTGAGATCCAAGTAGATTAGGTTATTTTTTAAAATAGCCTGCAGATAAATTAATTGATTCAGTAAATATTTATTGATGCCTATTATATGCCCGGCACTATTTTAAGCATTGAGGATATAATGGTGAAAGAAAGAGAAAAATAAAAGCAGACAAAAATCCTTGCCAGCAGGGAGCTTACATTCTACTGGGGAGCTTACCTGTGGCAGGCACAGAGCCAAACACACTACAGATGTTAAACTTCTTTGGCCTCAAATCACACAGGTAGTTTAGGACAGGACAAGAAACCGAACCACCTGATTCCAAAGTTACTGCAGCTTCCACTCTGCCACAGTTAGATACTGGTGGTAAATCAAAGAAAAGTCATATTCCCTGTCTTTTATATAAAACTCACATTCCAAGCTGATAAGAGTAGACAGTGGAACATTACCAAGGAATTAAGCAATGGACAAAATAGAACAAGAAAGGAGGTGGGACTGGTAACTGCCTTTGTCAAATACTAGACACAACATTTGGGAATTTTTTTAAGGTCTTTAATTTTTTCTTCATTTGGGTGTTGGAGTAGAAAAACAGGAATTAGTGTTCTGTTAAAAGTAGTCATTAAAAGTAGACTGATAAAATTAGGACAGTGGTTCCCTCTGTGAGGAACTGGCAGAGGCACCAGGGAGGAATGACCAGAGTCTCAATAAAACTGGCAATGTTCTAGTTTTTAAGTTGGGTGGAGCGCCCATGGGTGTTCATTTTGTTTCACTGGTACATATATTTCTGTATATTTCAAATATTACATGATAAACACAGGCACAGGGGAATGATTTGAAGGAAAGAAGTCAGGATATGCAACTAAATAATAAGGAAAGAAACTTCAGAGCATTAATGAATAAAAAATAAAGCCTCTGTTAACGAAGGTGATGTAACAATATGACCCAAAAGCAAAGATAAAATAATATTAAGGCTAACAGCCTTTAACAGAAAAACAAATATAATAATGGCCCTACTCTCCGCTTTACCTTCTCCCCACCTATATACTGGACTAAAGGGTCACTGAGTGGGGATGAGAGTCAGTAATGATATGTAGAGCGCTGCTGGTTTACACTTTTCGTTAAACCTTGAAAAACCACTTATGGGCTGCAGTTTGTCTGCACCTGGGTACCTGGTGGGTTCTTAGGTAGAGCAGCAGTCATTTTCTGCACTCTGTTCTCCCACATCGATTTTTATTTCTTAACAAGGGTCTTTGGGGTCCACTATTTGAGTTGTCTGAAGGGTTAAAAAAAAAAAAAAAGGTCCAGCCTTATCCCTTTACTTTGCATTAGTAGACAGCTTCCCTCTTCTGGTTCCTCTCTGGTCGTGACCCAATGTCCAGCCTGGGGTATCCAAATGACACGATATGACCTGGACAATAGTCAAAGTGAGTCATCCTCCTCCCCAGGGCCACGCATATTATCCCACCACCGATATCTGCAAGCCGCGCCAGGAATTAAAGCTGAGTCTTAATTAAATATTCTGAGCTGGTGAGGGGGCTGTATTTCTTAGCCCTAATCACCACTTAACTTAAACTAGTAAAATGTAATTCCCCCAAGGAACCCAGCCTGAAGCAAACCCTCCCCAAGGGTGCCACTGAGGGGGCAGCACCGAAATGTTTTCGATGACTCAGTCACCTGTTTCCAAATACTACCTAACTAGCTTCGCCCCCTCCCCTTCGAGTTCCCCTGCAGTTGTTCCAAGACACTGAGGGCCCCGGCCTGGGCACATATGGCCCTCGGCGTCCCAGACAAACCCACTCTCCTGCTGCCCCCAACGCTACATCATAACGACGGTGGGAGTGAGTGGAGGAAGCGGCGGGGCCGGGGCAGCCTGGGCCCGGGGGGCACAACGCGGCTCCTGCCCCGGATTCTTTCCCGGACCTTGGGAGGGGGCGGGGTGGGGGGCAGTCTTGCGTTGGACGCGGGATCTCAGAGCCCGCGCAGCTGACGAGCGGGCAAGGGTCGGTCCAAGCTCAGCCGCCTCACCTGCACTGGTGTTGGCCAGCAGGAGTAACTGCAGCACCAGCCCAAACACAAATCCCGGGGCGACCATGTTTGCGAGGCACCTTGGCCCCTGCGCAGGCCTCGGGCGTTGACGTGAGGCAGGGGCGGGGCCTGGGGCGGGGCCTGCGCGGGGCGGAAAAGGCCTGACCCCGCCCTTCCCAGGCC